GGAGGGAAGGAGGGAAGAGGGAGGGAAGGGGGAGGGAAGGAGGGAGGGAGGGAGGGAAGGAAGGAGACAACAAAGAAGGAAAGGAGGGAGGGAGAGAGAACAGAAATTACGTGGATTTGGGCTCCAATATTTCACTTTGTTTTTCCATTTATCATCAGTCAAATAATTTGAGAATATAGCACCAGTAAGAGCCCAGGTGGCCACTCAACAAGCTTCTGGAAATGAAAACCACCCCAATCCCCAAACATTTAATATTAGTTTATCTGTCATCCTGTATCTCCATACCCCCCTTATCATTCTTTAAAGCCAGCCCCCCACTGCCGTGTTCTAAGTTGCTGGCACTCACATGTGATGGTGCTCTGGAGAGTGCTGTCATGATCAAAAGCAATGACGGTCACTTCGTAGGGTGGGGGGCCCCCATCTTCCCCATTTTCTGGATGACTCAGACAGCACCGGAAGCACACTGAAGTCAGTCCACACAGGAGGAGCAGGGCGCCAATTACCACCAGCAACCTGCAAGAGTCCGTAAGGCAAGTCCAAGCTGGTTTCCCAGCTCTGCCGCAACTAGCCCTTAATGTCTGATCTTGATTCTTGTTGGTTATAGAGCAATAAGAAAGCTTTAATTTCCACGATTTCAGTTTACATATTTCCCTCACTGGCTTTTCAGCAAAACTAGGTCAGTCATTAGAGCAAGTGATATTTAAGATGGTTGGAAGGGACTGCTTTGGGTTGTGAAGTTAAACCCGTGTCGAGAGATATTTCTCAAGCGCCCGCTGAGGGAAGGGCACATTCACTTTTTGATGTTGGCTGAAGAGATCCTATTGAAATAGGAAATCCTGGCATATTGTCACATCGGTTACTGAGTAGGTAGAGAAAGGCTATCTCATAGTTTTATTCCTGATCACAGCATATGAAAAGCTTAAAAAATAATGTCCCTGAAAATAAGATATCTTTGAGTGTTCTGCAGCTGCAACTTACCATATATACCAGAGATGCACCCAGTCTGTGGTCAGGCAACTATGGAGAAACAGTGAAGCTTATTATATTAAAAATCAAGTATGTGAATAATAATTATTATATTGTTATATATGCTCTAATAAAAAGGTTTATTTTAGTTAAAAATCCAATGTAATTAACGTATTCTATTGTAAATAGCATGCTTTACATAGAAATTGATGATATAGGTAGCATTGGGCAAATCGTTTTGTTAGTTACTATAAGATCCTTTACAGTAGCGACCATGAAAACTATTAAGGCTGGGAGAGGCTAAGTGAGAAGAGGAGGGGAAGAGAAACAATTGCAATGAATTTTGTTTTAAAAATGCCATGTCAGCTCAATTAAACTAGGGCCCAAAGGGGAGGTGAGAAATAGGTGTCTGGTCAGCACTCGATTGAGAACTATTTGAGACTGATTGCTACTGGGTGAGGGAGAATATGACTTATATATGACCACTGGAAGGGCTGACTAGACTCCAGTGGACTCATTTACACTGAAGGACATTTGGGTACAAACACCTGAATGAATAGGACTCAGCATGTATGGCAGAGTGCACAGGGTTTGGTGGCGGGGGATGGGGAGGAGGCATGGATGGGGGAGGGCGTCTGGATTTGAGTGGGAAATGTATGAAATTTAAAAAGCTCAATAAAAGATGCTATGATGAAACAAAATTATTTGTATGCTAAGAAAAGGAAAAGAAACATGAAATGTCTCCATGACTACTATAAGCAGCTATAATGAAAGTTGTCAAGAAAGAGTTTGGCATACATGTTTATGAATGAGTTTGAAAATGGGTATGAGCATTAAAGTTAGTGTATATGCAAGGTCAATAAAATGTAAACATGAGGAAAACTTCATTCCAAAGCCTGAAACCAGTCACGTTTGAAATTTATATTTCACAAGCTATTGCAACACCCTCCCTGCAAAGAGGAAACCTAAATTTTCACATCAGAGGTCAGAACGGATGGGCATACCTATTGAGACCAAACATGGAAGGAGAAAACATTAGAGGTCAACTTGATGTGGAGAAATCTAACTAACTAGCTGTGGACATTGTAAACTTTCTTTGTAGGAGGGAAAAGGAGGGATGGGGAAGTAACATGAGCTACAACCAGGGGTAAGAGGCAGAGCAGAAGCAAAGTGTACGCCTCTTTGAAGATTTGCCGATTGTGACGCTCAAAAATACTTAGTACTAAAATATATTGAAGTCATTTCCATTGAAACCCATTACTGAATTCCTTTCTTAGTCATACATTTGTAGAAAATACAGTTTGGCTCTTTCCTTGGAACAACACTTCATCTTGCTTTTCCACATTCATCATTTGTTCAAAGACCTTCCTTCTACTTCAACATTAGATTGTCAAGGGGTGAGGGATGCCCAAATCCTCAATGCCCCCCAGCCAGTATCTTAGCTATGCATGCCAAGTAAGTAAGGTTATTATCTCTTCCGTACACCTAACAGAGTTGACTCTAGGGAAACGATCCCATGTGGAATAAGTGTTCTCCTGCAGTCTGAACAAGATTGTTGTTTCACTGTCTCTACTTGATCATTTCATGTTGCTCCTCCAAGTACAATGAACCTTGTGGATTTTTACTTTATGTTCTCTGAGTCTGCATAAGACCTAACTGTGATGGATTTATATGGGACACGTCAATGGAGTCTGTAATGATTATTAAAGTGCCCTGAAAACCAGACAGTGCTTCCAGATTTGAAGTGAGCACTGCTTAGGACTCACCCAGATACACATGCTGGTGACTGGATGCTGAACCCAGTCTACCCTGATGAGTCACTGGAAAGAGAAGCTAAGCCAGCCTTTTGCTCATCTCTGTGTCGAAGTATGTTGACTTTGGAAAAAAAAAGTGCTATAAGCAGTGTTATTTTGAGCACTTAGGATGACACAGGTCTGTGACAGTGGGTGGATACCCATTTAAGTGGAAAGGGAAGTCACAGATCTAATGACATTTGAACCACGTCTGGGCATTGTTGCTTTTGTTTGTCTCTCTTTCCTCCCAGCTTGAACTCTCCATACTCACTGTCCAGTGTTGGCACAGTTCTCACATCTTGCCCCAGGAAGCTGTAGGAAGGGAAATAATCTCAGACAGGGAAACAGTCTCATCTGCTGCACTCAGTAGCCTATCAACCATCCCTCATAGCTGAGCTGTCAGACCCACGGGTGCAGCTGAGGCCAAGGTCATAGGGTCAGTCCATAGGGCCCTGGCACCCTGATCATTCTTCTGCCTGCTGACTCTGTCTTGAAGTAGAAGCTATTGGAAGAACAGGAGTCTCACCTGTAATTTGGGAGGGTGTGAGCCGCATTGCCTTGGGGAATGGCAAGCAGCCTTTTGTATCAATTTGTCACCCTAGAGATTTCCTAATCTGTCCTTCTGAATATCTTAATTGTCTTCTTGTTACCACCCAGTCGAAAATTGAACTCTACACCTCACACTGCTCTTTTCAACCTTCAATATCAATAACTCACCACATATGGGAAGAAAGAACACAGAGCACAGAGCAAAGAACTGAAAGGAAGACCAGGCAAAGAGGAAGCAAAGATGAGACACAAGAAAAGATGCACTGTCACATGCTGGTTAACCTGCAAATAGGAGGCACAGCAGACAGCCCACTCCCTTACAGGGCTGCAATATGGTCCAGCTTCTGCGTTTGTTCTCTTTCTTTCTAGACTTCACAGCTCTGTGACTTTGGCCTTGGTAGTTGTCCAGAATCCCTCTGTCTAACAACCCCTTTCACAGCTAATAGATACCTCACAGGCTTCTGAGTCATAGTGAGGTAAAAAGGTGCCTTAAATATTATTAGATTCCTAGGGTCTGGGGAGGGGGTTCAATGAGTAAAGTGCTTGCTGTGTAAGCATGAGGACCTGATTCTGGATCCCCGGCACCTATGTGAAAGTGAGACTCAGAAGCAATACCTTTAATCCCTTGTGGGTGGATACTGGTGGATCATGTGTGGCTGCTGGTCAGCCAGTCTAGTTGAAATGAGTGAGTCCCAGGCTCAGAGAAAAAAAACTATCTCAAAAAATAAGGTAGGGGGTTGGAGAGTTGGCTCAGTGGTTAAGCACTTGCTGTTCTTTCTAACAACCATATGTAATTTCAGTTCCAGGGGATCTGATGCCCTCTTCTGGCCTCCATAGGCTTTGAATGACATGTGTGCACTTACACACATACAGGCAGAACACTCATATAAAATTTAAAAAATAAATCAAATATTTTAAAAACTTAAAAATAAATAAGGTGAAGCCCGGTGCGGCACACGTTTTTAATACCAGCATTTGGTAGGCAGAGACAAGCAGATCTCTGTGAACGTGAGGCCAACCTGGTCTACATAGGGAGTTCCAGGCCAGCTAGTACTATAGGGAGATCCTATCTCAAAAACCCCAAAATAAAACCAAACAAAAAACCCCAAAACAAAATAGCAACAAAAATAAGGTGGAGAGTGATAGAGGAAGATACTCAAAGTCAACACCTTGTCATGCGCATTCACAGATGAGTTCATACACCACACACACATGCACATCCTCCACCTTTTAATATGTTTATGGAATATAGACTTTTAAACTCCTAGAACTGTATTATAACTGAAGTATGTAACTTGTATGGGGTTTTTAAGAGATGTGGAGTAAGGTAGAAAAATCAAGAAATGAGAAATGTGTGTAAGTGGCACTTGGGTAGCTAGCCTGCTTTCATCTCTTATTGTCCAAATGTCTATCCCTCTTTCCATGGGCATTACCAACACACACACACGCACACGCACATGCACACGCACACCTCTGCAAACCTATGGAAGTAAGAGAACAGCGTCCTTACTCCTGTCCCCACTGCCCCCTAGGCACTATATTGCCTTTCACCTCATCCATCTCCTCCCAGATTCCTCTGAGAGTCAATCTAGTGGAGGAAGCAGGCCAAAGAAAAGCCCTTTCCTGCCTTTTCACAACTGAACTCACCTGGATGAAATGAGCCAGGACAGAGGCCATCACCACCCGGACCAGAGCTGCCATTGGGCTGACCGTCTGATTCTGCAGGGTCACACTGGGAGCATCTGCTGCCTCCTCTCCATGCTCTGTGCCTGTGTGACTTTGTGGTCTAGAGTTCCTAAGGAGACAAACATTTTTCAGCAATAAATCACTTCCTCTCTCTCTGTCTCTCCGTCTTTGTCTCTCTCTGTCACTCTCTCCCTCTTTCCATCTCTCCCTCTCGCACTCTCTCTGGCTTTATAATTTCTGGTCTTTTTTCCCTTCCCACTTAGTTTTCTTCTCTTCCTCTATTTCTGTTTGTACAGCCTCCACCTTTGCTTCCCTTTCCCTCTTTCCTTCCTCTCTGCTATCAAATCTTCCTATGTATTTAACCTTCTCCCTCTGCTCCCAATAGAGAGGCAGTCAAAGAGGACACATTTGTCCTTTGAATTAGATATTTTTCCAGACTGTAATGAGAAGCTTGGTTTTGAAGAAAGTCAAAGGCAGACTGCAAGTGACCAGATGTGTTCCTGTTTAAACCAGCAAACTGGTTACACTCTTGGTCATTCACCATGGTGCTCCAGGATGACCACTGAAGGTTGAAAGTCACCCTGCCAGTCTCCCTCCACCCCCTCTCCGTGTGATTAGCCTCCCTCTTCTTGCTCCTTGAAACCTTCCCCTCACTGTGTTGATAATCAACCCTGCTAGTTCTGGATCATTTATTCCAACCACCTGAGCTGGAAAATGGTCCCATCTTTAGAGTAGGAAGCAGATTTCAAAACTAGAACTTCCAGCTGTTGCCAGTAGCCTCCTGTCCACTTTCATTTCCATGCCCGCTGAAACAAGTTAGACACACAGGCATATTTGAAGACCTGGTTTCTGAGATTCATTTTCTCTCTCTCTCTCTCTCTCTTTCTTCTTCTTCTTCTTCTTCTTCTTCTTCTTCTTCTTCTTCTTCTTCTTCTTCTTCTTCTTCTTCTTTTCACACTATAGAATTTTATTCCTCTCCTTTGGCAAAGTACTATAGCAATCTTGCTACTTAAGAGCCAGACACAGTATATTCCACTGATGCTCTAGATGCTCAGAAGGCTGAGGCAGGGGGATCACTTAAGTCCATTCTAGAAATTTGAGAATAGCTCAAGCACCAACAAGACTGCCATCTACAAAATGATCTTGGCACTCAATCAGATAAAACCTAAAGCCAGGTTTAAAAATAAACACACCACATGGAAAAGATATGAAATGCTTGTAAGGAATATCTATTGGAACAAGTAAATATACAAATGGTTTATACTTAAGCAGGCCATGTCTTACTTAATAAAAAGTATTTGATAAGAACATTCAGTGTTGTCTTACAGTAACACATACATTTCATAAGAATTGAATAAAAACACATTTCAGATTCTAATCATACCAAGCTGTTGATGAGGAGAGGCTGCTGAGAGGATCCATCACACTCAGGGGCCCTCATATCATATGCTCATGCTGACAGTGTGATGTAGGAAAGGAGACTATGAATTATTTTTCTCAGCTAAAGAAAGCAAATAATGGGTGCAGAAGAGATGGTTCAATGGTTAAGAGCACTGGATACTCTTGCAGAGGACCCGGGTTTGGTTTCCAGCACCCACATGGCAGCTAACAACTGTCTGTATCTCCAGTTCCAGGGGATCCAGTGTCTTCTTCTGACCTCTGTGGGTATTGCATGGCATGGGTGCACTTACACACATGCAGGCAATGTACTTATACACATAAAAAAACATAATAATAATAAAGTGATAAGAATGTCGTCTCATTGGCTTACAAAGACTAAGAGGTTATAAATGCATCTCATAGTCCTGATAACAAGCATGTGCTGGTTAAGATGGTTTTGAGTTTAGCTGTATCTTACAGGTGATGGCTATGTCCAGGATGCTGGATCATTGATGTTCATTATGCTTATCCTGTCTCTTTCCACCCTCCCTAGGTTATATCTTAGCTTCCTAATATTCTATTTCTTGAGTACTTTCCATGGCTAGCTTGGCCATCCCTTCTCCTACTCAAGCCAGCCTTCACCTGCATGAACAAGTTTCTCAATTAACATGGCTTTCTCCATTTCACTTTCTGGCCACATGATTGCAATCTTTCTGCCCTCCAGCTTCTTAACGGGCTTGAACAAAACAGGTTTCTGTTAATGACTGTTCTTTTTCTTTCTCAGAATTACTGCTGCCACTTCTCCTTTCCTCACCAGAGCATCACCTGGGGAGATAAGGCTTCCTTTCTTTATCCCGATGTGTCAATACCCTGTGGTGATTCCCATCAAAGTCTCTGCTAGTGAATGATGAGAAAGGAAGGAACCCAAGGGAGAAAACTGAAGGCCTGTGTAGCATAAGGACAGGAGGGCATGGAGAATGAACTCATTACCTACACAACCCTGTCGAGGTCCATTAAGCTTGTGAATTATTAGCTTATACTCATGTTTCAAAGAAATGGGACTGGAGCCAGTGGAAGGCGCACATACACAGACCTTTTCACCTATGCTTCAGGGAATTGTTGTACAACCACTGTGACAAGTGCAGCCAAAGAACTTCTAACTTGTGGTTCCTTCAATGATTTATTTTCCTTTGATCTTGGCTATGAGGCTCTGGCCACACATTCCCTTTCTTTCTATGCCTCAGGGAGGTAGAAAGCAGGGCAGGGCTATTGCTACTCTGAGGCACTGACATCGAGGTATACAGGGTTGAGCAATGGGTTGGGCCATAACCATGGCTTTAAGAATAGATAAGGTGGCAGAAGTCTGTTCCGTTCTAAAATGACTGGGAGTTTCATTAGAAAGTGTTTCTACTTTAAGAGCTAAGATCACAGTAGAGATATTGAGTACCAGCTTCAGAAGCACTGAACATTACTAACAGGATTCAATTTAAGGAATTTTCCCCTTGAGACAGGTTCTCATGTTTCCCAGACTGGCAATGACCTTGACTTAATGATTTTCTTGTTTCCATCTCCCAAGTACTGGGATTAAACGTATGTACCACTGCTCCCCTTTTATGCAGTGCTGGGGGTTGAACCCAGGGCTTTGCGCTAAACTTAAGGAAGTTAAATAAGACAGAAAGATTCACTTTATCAAAGGATGTATGCTTTACATGTTGTGTAGCTTACGATCACAAACTGCTTGGGTAACAACATAAGACACATGTGTATTATGAAGAGCACCCACAGCAGGGTCAGAAGTGTGGACAAAGCTTAGCTGGGTCCATTTCTTGGCTTGGGTCTTACAAGGCTGAGATCAAAATGTTCTCTCTGCTGCAACCTCACTGGAAGGCTTCAATGGGAGAGGATCAGCTTGTGAGCTCCCTCAGGTCGAATGCATTTCTTAGTGCTTGTAAGATTACTATAATGATGCTTGCTAAATCTAAATGGAAAGAGAGAAAAAGAGAGAGAGAGGGGGAGAGAGAGAGTGAGGAAGCAGAGGCTTCAATACAGTACTCATTGTGTCTTATGTGACTACATGTGTTTGAGCACATGCATTCTGTGACGTTTGCTATGTTCTAAATCACAGATCCCACCTGTGATTAAAGAGAAGATATTCCATTAAGGCCTGACACCAGAAAGTCTGGATAACTACGTGTTCTGCATGCTTGCAAGTCTTTACCTGCTACACATTGTGGAAACTTATCTCTGTGGATGTTTAAGAACAAGAGAAACTCATACTGTTACCTTTCATCAAAGGATGAAAAGGTAAGTCAATACAAAGGAAGGAAATTCTCAAATGTGCTATAATCTGGATGAACCTTGAAGGCATCATGATCAGCAAAATAAGTCAAACATAGAAAGAAAAATGATATATGCCTCCTCTTATATAAGATATGAGGTAGTGATGGAAATCTTGAATGTCCCCCAAAGGCTCATGTGTTAAAGGGTTGGTTGCCACTAGTAGGGGGTTCTAAAACTCTAGGAAGTGGGACCAAAGACAGGGACAGGTTATTGGAAGCAGGTTCTGGAATGAGATTGGGATCTCTCCTCTTCTCTCTCTCTGTCTCTCTGTCTCTGTCTGTCTCTCTCTCTCCCTCTCTCCCTCCCTCTCTCTCTCCCTCCGACCCTCCCTCCTTCCAGTAGATGAGCTGCTTTTACTCACACTGGCTTCCCATGATGGTGTTCTGTCTCACCACAGGCTAAAAGCAATGGAGATGACTGATCATGGATGGAAGCCTCTGAAACCAACACCCAAAATAAACCTTTCTTCCTCGTAAACTCAGATATTTTGTCAAAGTGATAGAAAGCTAACACTAAGTGCCTAGAGCAGCTAAACTTATGGAGACAGAAAATATGGTGGTGACTTCCAGGAGAGGGATAGGGAGTTAGAGTTGTGGAGTTCTCTAGAAAAACAAAATCAATGGGATGTGTGCAGATAAAGATGGAAGAGTGAAGGAAAGTTCCCAGCAAAATCCTGCATCTTGGACGGAACTTCATGCATGGCTGACCAACTGATTAGCACCTCAGTGACTGTGGGGAGTTTGGAATGTTGCAGATCCAGAGCCTATTGACAATTAATCTTGGACCATCTTTAGCCCATAAATAGCCACTCCTTGCCCACCTCTATTTCTGACTTAACATCTTGTGACCAACAGATAAAAAACATTTAGGAATGAATTAACAAATCCCTAGTTCTCACCAACCAAAAGGCCAAGAATGTCATTAGATATCATCTGAGGCCTACAGCTGAAATTTCTCTTTGGCTGTAACTGCCTACTTAATATTTCCACCAATGTAGTTTGAAAAGTTTTTTGATTTATGACTTTTCTTTGTTCTGGGTTTTTTGCTGCCATAAAAAGTAACATCTAAAGGAGTTAAAATAGCAACCACTGTGTAGTATATGTTTTGAGATACTAACAGCATCTGACATAACTGAGTTACTATGGGAATAATAAAGTATCCTTTTCAGTGTGATGTCATTTCAGTTTATTAATTTGTTATTATAAGAAATTTCTTGAGATTTTATTGGCATGAAAAGGTCAGGATGGTAACCAAGAAATGTATCCAATCAGGGCTTATTTCCTGACACTCCCAGTCTGGGAAACTGGGATAGGGCATTGGAGACAAGGGGAACACTGACTTGTTAGCATGCTGATTGATAAAGTAGAGTTGGCTACATGTTGGGGTTGTTTTGTGAATTGTGTGCTAGAATAGAACTTTAAATAACAGATAAGCTGTTCTGAACTTGTACTGAATGTCCCATGCAGGAAGTGGGAAAATGCAAAGCTTATCAGGGAGGAGAAAAATGGAATTCTAAATACACTGCCAATATTAGTGACTTTCACTATTTAACTTCCTAGATAGTTTATCTTATCCTAGATACTTTATCTACCCTTCCCCTAAATTGGTCTAAAGCAAATTCCAGATATCATAGAACTTTGCATACACACACTCCAGAAAATATCTTTAGTAGATAAGGATTTCTTTATATAAAAGCTCATACAGGGACTTGAGACATAGCTTAGTGAGAACCTGAGTTAGGGTTCCCAGAACCCACGTAAAGCCCATTTGGTAGCATGCATGTCTGTAATCTCAAGACTCCCACTGTGAAATGGGAGGCAGAGACAGGAGAGAATTCTAGAAGCTTACATGTCAGCTAGTCTGGCATATGTAACAACAAGTAACAAGATGGGAGATAAAGACCAACCAACATCTGAGGTTGTCCTCTGACCTCCACATACGCAGGTACTATGCACTAATACACACAAATATGCATGCATCCACATCCATACCACACACATACAGAAAAAAATATTTTAAAGGAACATATAATTTTAAAGAGATGCATTTTTGCCGGGCGTGGTGGCACATGCCTTTAATCCCAGCACTCAGGAGGCAGAGGCAGGCGGATCTCTGTGAGTTCAAGGACAGCCTGGTCTGCATAGTGAGTTCCAGGACAGCTGGGGCTACAGGGAGACCCTGTCTCAGAAAGACAAAAAAAAAAAAAAAAAAGAAATGCATCTTTTTGTGAAGGCAAAATAGGTAAAGATTCAATCAATAGACACAGGAACCCCATGGAAGAGTTTATAACTCAAATCAATCATAGGTTAGACCAGAGTATATTCTTTACTGGGAAATTTAACTATCCTAAATAATACTAGTTTAACTATTATTTCTGAGTCATTATGCTTCAAATGCGAAGCTTCTCATTTCTTCACAATATCTCCTTTTGAGTTCCCATTGCAGTAGCATCAAAGAGACATTAGCCTCAAATTACAGATTTAAAAAAAAACATAGATTCAATATAAATATTTTCTCTAGACCAAGAGGAAGATCTGATACTAGCTCCATCTAGTTCCAAAGAGCTTTCTGCTGCTGCAAACTGTCACTATATAAAATAGTATCCTTACTGAGTTTTTAAATTACCTAGGACACTATGGCAGGAAATGGGAATCTTATGTGATTCATCTTAAACTTCTGACAGTCAACACAATGAACATTAGAAAGGAAAATGTGCTGCTTGTAAGAGACCCCATACAGAGACTTTCTACCACAGTGAAATCAGCAAACAAATGTGGACAACAGAATCACATCATCTGGTCCAAACACACATCTTTCCACAAATCCGGTGTGATGTGCACACTCTCTATGAGTTTCAGGTCCTTATTTGGCAAGTGTCTACAGTGTCTTTCCTCTAATTATCGTGGACAGTGTACTTTTTCCTTTCATCAGCTACTTAGTGAAATCTCACCAAACACTATTGGAATTACCACTTTCCCCACCCGCAATAGACACAACCTAAGAATTTACATTAGCCAATTTCCCAAAATGAAGCAAAGCCTCCCCTTCCTCCTACAAGGATTGAGTCATTCTTCTGCCAGATAAGAGCAGCTACTTAAGCACTTCATGAGAAACTCACACATTGACAGTTGGTTGAGGTCCTTGACTGCTTCACTTTCTCATTTTTGGCATGAATTTAGAAAAGACTTTTGACAACCTCAAGATGAAGCCTGTGAAAGACCACCCCGACCAGAAGTCAAGTTCCAAGAAAGCTAAAGGTACTGGGGGTGGTGGATGTTTTGAGGACAGACTCCCAGGGTTAATTCAGAGATGTGACGAATAGATTGAAGAATGGACTTAGAAAACAAAACCATTCAAATATCAGGGGGTACAAGAGGGTAATGCCAACTTTTTAGAAGAAAAGAAAATAGAACTTATGCTGCTGTTGTTGCTGCTGCTGCTGCTGCTGATGGTGACTGGCCTATACTATTTACTATAAGCTATCTTCCAAGCTATCCACTTTAAGGGTGTGATATTTCTGAATCTTTACAGTTAAGGTTTTGAGAGTGGTGCTATTATTATTTGCCTTTTACACAGGATTTTCTTCTGATCTGGAGGATTAACAAAGTCACCCGGTTTTCTTGAATTCGTACACAGCAGAACCAAAATGGTACCACAGATTCCCATTTTTCCAAAATCCGGTCTATGAAAAACTGTAGAAAATACATTCACCCAGTGGATACAATAACATTTTTTTTTTGTCTTTTTGAAGCAGGGTCTCCCTGTAGCCCCAGCTGTCCTGGAACTCACAGAGATCCATCTGCCTCTGCCTCCCAAGTGCTGAGACTACAGGCGTGCACCACCACGCCTGGCTACAATAACAATTTTTATAAGTGTTATCGAGGGATGACAAAATCTGAAATGTTTTATCAGTTATCCTAAGAAAATTCAATGATATTTAGCATGGCCTGGCATATTTTATATCTTATTGTACATCATTTCTTTGAAAAATTATAATTTATGTTTCACATGCATAGTAAAGTGAACTGCTTAAGTATAAATGATTGATCAGCCTAATTTCTTAAACAACCACAAATATATTGTCTTTTACAAGCAGTTAGAGAAAAAGGAACAAAATACAAGGCGAGAAAGACAGGTAACTTATCAGAAATATAGATAAAGAAACTTCAGGTTATGTGAAAAAATGTTGGAATTTCTTTCAATAGTAAAATAAGACTGAGTGTAGCAAGATTTAACATTTGAGCTCTTGAGCTAACTTGATATGCAAACAATACTTACTCTTAGTAGGTAGACTTACACGTTAACACTAATCATCTGTGCAATAAATATCATATACCTGACTTTTGCTGAAATACAAAATATTTAATATTTTTAGAGTCCTGGTTAGAGTAGTAATTTATGGTGAATGGTATAAATTGGGCACAGAATTCCTTGAGGAGTTCTCAACTGATTGACAAAATAATTGCCCTCTTTCTCTTTACATTTTTATTTCGTAAATGCGTATGAATGAGTATTTTACCTGCACATATGTAAATGCATCTGTGTCATGCAGTGCTCAAGGAGGCTAGAAGATGGTATCGGATTCCCTAGAACTGGAGCTACAGTTGGTTGTTGGCTACTATGTGGGTGCTGAGAACTGAACCCAAGTTCTCTGTAAGAGCAGCAAGTGCTTTTAACTGTTTTCTGACTAGGAAGTCACAAAAAATTAGACTAATGGTATAAAAATTAGATTAATGGTCTCCATCTCCCACCAAGACAGGGCAAAGAAATCTTATGGATAACAGAAGACTGTGTTTTCTGTTATCATGAATGGGCCATAGGATTGCTTTTTCTTCTAAAACTTCAAGAGTTGTGGGCATATTTGATACCACAATGTGGAATGAATACGGACCAGAGAGGGGAAAAGGCGGCAAGATTTACACATAGGTACATGCCAAGATTAAGCAATTATTTGCAAGAGATACAGCTATCTTCAACTTCCTCTCTTCCCATTTGCAGCACACTTGTGCAGAGACAGAAATTATTGAATTAGTGTATGAGCTTTATTTCTCCCTGTCAATATTTATGTTTTGTTTTATCATCTCTGGAATCTAATAAGGATTGTTAACATATGAGAGTTCTGTAAATGCATTTGATCATTGATGGACTGGGGTCATTATACATTCACACTGAAAATTTTGTAATGTAATATTCGAAGCAATGTAGCTACTGAGTATTGGATTAGAAACCTATGTCTAGAGCCAGGTGTGGTAGTACAAGCCTGTTATCCCAACACTAGAGAGGCTGAAGCAAGAGGAACAACACTTGTTCCAGACCAGCCTCAGGTATGTAATGAGTTCCAGGACAGCCTGGGCTACAGAGTGAACACTGTCTTAAACAAAAACAAAAGTCCAAAGACCTGTGTTTGGGTTTTAATACATGTATGTATTTAACTTAGTGACTGAAGCTTTCAGTTTCTTCTCTTTTTTATTTTAAATATTTTATCTATTATTTTTATTTTATGAGTGTAGTATTACCTAATGTCATGTAATGCCTACAGAGGTCAGAAGAGGGTGTCAGATCCCCCAGGAACTGGAATTACAGATGGTTCTTAGTCACCATGTGGGTGGCAGGGATCGAACCTGGGTCCTCTGCAAGAACAGCCAGTGCTTTTAACCACTGAGCCAGCTCTTTCCAGCCCCTCAGTTTCTTCTTTACATGTGGAGAAAAATAATGTCAATGCTTTGTTTATCTCAAAAAGTAAAGAAACCAAATATACTGTATGTGATGTTTTCCTGTTTGACCTGTAATATCTGTGACCATCTAGTGCTGGAACACATAATTGGGCATTCATTTGTCTTGGAGTTGCATGACTTATTTTCATAAATACAGAAACTTTTTCTCTTGGGGTCACAGGCCGCATTTGGTGTTAGTTTGAGACAGGCTATTAATATAAACCAAGTGCATATCAAGGTTTCATTCCTATTTTGCTTTGGTCAATAATACCAGTTCCAAGATTAATATTAGTGAAACAAAAATCTAATGGTATAAAATTAGACATAGAATTTCTTGAATAAATCTCAGCTGGTTGCTGACTAATGTTTATTTGCTTGACATCTGACATTTGTATATAAAATGTTACTTATAGACACATATGTGTATATGAAAACATGTGTATAACATGAGGCAATCTGCACACTAAAGTTGATCTTGTTAAGCTGCATTGAAAGGTATTTATTTCTTTATTTTTATTTTCTGCATATGAGTGTTTTGCCTGCATATATATAAAGCGCACCCATGTTCTCCAATGACTGTGGAGAACAGAAGAGGGTATCATATCCCTTGGAACTGGAGTTAAGGATCGTTGTTAGCCACCATGTGAGTGCTAAAATGGAACCTGGATCCTCTGTAAGAGCAGCCAGTGCTCCTAACCACTGAGCAATCTCTCCAGGCCCTTTTAATTTTTTTTTTTTTTTTTTGAGAGTTCCTTAAAGAGCCATTGTACCGAAAACAAGGTATAAACATCAGAGTCGGATAATACTTCAAGCCTGATATCTGGTATTGGATCTGAGCTGTTAAGCCTGTCAGTGTGGGACCATGAGTAATTTCCTTCGTTCAACAGCCATCATGTGCTCTGCCTGTAAGTGTGCAGAGCCAGTGGAGGAGTGGTAAGGGGCACAGAGCATCAAGTACAGACAGGATCCAAAGCCTGGTTTGACAATCTACTTTTATCTTTCTCATCTTCCTGATTCTCTCCTCCCTCCTTCTAGGTCTGCGGTTCCTTTCTTCCCCCTGGTGGTGCCCTGTGGCTATGACTCTGGGGATCCTTTGCCTGGGGTTGTCAGTGACCATGATTATGCTGGGGATGCAATGTAAGTATTGAAATTGGGAAATGGGGGTAGAGAGTGAAGGATTATGATCATACCTTAAAACTTTGCTTTATAACAACTACAAGTCAGTCTTAAGTTAGATTCATTTTAGGCAAAAAGTTTTGAGAAAGAATTGAATTAGCCATTCAGTGGGCATATTGTGCTCCTCCTTCCAAAAGACAAAGGCATTGAATGAAGATTATTCATGGCAACATTTTCTGTTTTGTTGTCATAAATTCATGGAGGAGCCTATTTAGCTCCTATAGTAGTTTTGTAAAAAAAAAAAAAAAAAAATAGCCTGAGGTTTTTAATCCACAAGATCACCTGAGCAACCCAAAGAGAAAAGATAGCTCACTTAGTTTTATTTTTAAAATTTTATTTATTACTTTTATTTGATGTATACGAGTGCATTTACCTGCATGTATGTAAGTGCACCCATGTCACACAATGCCCTCAGATGTCAGAAGAAGGCATTGGAGCCCCTGGAACTGGAGTTGCATACAGTTGTTAGCCACCGTATGGGAACTGGGAATCAAACCTGGGTCCTCCACAAGAGCATCCAGGGTTCTGAACCACTGAGCCATCTTTCCAGCTCCCTGGACCACTGAGCCATCTTTCCAGCTCCCTGGACCACTGAGCCATCTTTCCAGCTCCCTGGACCACTGAGCCATCTTTCCAGCTCCCTCATTTAGCTTTATTTTAATGATTTAGCTTTATTTTAAGATTAGCTTTATTTTAGGCTTTAAGATTAGCTTTATTTAGCTTTATTTTAAGATTAAGAACCAGAATCATCACTTTAAAATAAGTAAAGCATCAGTGACAGCATGTAGTTTGAATTTAGGGCTTGTAGGAAAAAGAAGATACTGAACGGAAAAAGAGGAAAATAAGGACAGAAGAGGCCACGAAGGAAAGAAAGAGGTGTCTACCCCCATTTGCCACATGATTCGATCGCAGGTCTGAGTGGCCAGGCAAAATTATTTTGCTCAGGGTCCAAGTTATTAGGCCTTAGAAGTGCAACTTGCTTTCCACATCTCCGAGTTCATAAAATATTTATTATTTGTTTACTTTTTATTATTTATTTATTTTTATGTGTATGAGTGTACACATTTGCCTACATGTATCTAAGCACACCATATATGTGTAATGTTCTCAGAGGCCAGAAGAGGGCATCAGATCCCCTGGAACTGAAGTTATAGACCTTTGTTAGCCACCACGTGGGTGCTAGGAAGTAAACCTAGTTCCTCTGCAAGAGCAGCTAATGCTCTTAACCACTGAGTCATCTCTCCAGCCCCATAAAATATTTTTATCAGGGCATAGGAGATGGCTCATCAGGTTATCACACTTGCCATCAAACCTGAAGCCCTGAGTTTGATACCTAGGCCCCATAGGGTGGAAGGAAAGAGCTGATTCCTGCATGTTGTCCCTCTGACCTCCACATGAGCATGATGGCATGACACCACCACCATTCACAGACATTTTAAAATGTAATAAAACCTAAAATATATATTTTTTAATCTTAATTCGCCAACACTTAGGACCTTTCCTGGTGGTGGGGAGGTATCCCAGTCAACAGTAGTAATTGAGAGAACTTTCCTTTAAGGGGCCACTCACCTTACAACTGGCTCAAACTTGGCCTTGATGCAAGGGTTGGCTGTGTACTGCACTGTGGAGTTTCTAGAACATAGCTCTTCAGCCACAAAAAGCCCTTGCGTTTGGTTTCACAACATTCATTCCGTCTCCACCCTTCCTAAAGTGCATTATGACTAAAAAATTACTGTCAATACTGCCATACAGAAATTCACAAATATTCTGTGAATAGCTGTCTCAAAAAACAAGACAAATGACACAATTTCTAAATAAAATCAGGAAGTCTGGCAGTGGAGACAGAGTGGGAGGCAACTGAGGAATTAAACACAGACAGAATAAATCAGTTCCTGCTATGAGTCAGAGTCTACGCTCCAGAGAGGTGACGACCATCAATTGTCTATATTTTATTTATTCTATTTTGCTAATGCTTATCTTGTTATTTTATAAACTTCATTTTTCATTGTTTGAGAATTTCATGCATGCATGTAATGTATGTTGATCATCTCAACCTTCCTTTCTCTCCTCTCCAATTCTTCTTCTATGCCACCACCACCACTACCAGTTTCCCTTTCCAAATTTTTGTTTGTATATTTTAAACCAACTGAGTCCACTAGTGCTGCCTATATGTGCATAGGGCCATCTGCTGCAGTGTGGGTAGCTTCTAAGGGACCATATCCCTAAAGAAAATTGACTGTCCCTCCCACAGCAGCCATCAGTTGTCATGCGCCTACCCATCCAATGTCTTTATTTTTATTTATTTATTTTTGTCATGCTGGATGTAGAACTCAGGGCCTTATACATGCTAGCTAGGTAATCCCTCTGCCTCTGAGCTTGATTCCCCAATCCCCTGTTATTTTTAAATTGTGTATAAATCTTAACATAAAACTGTTGCAATTTTTTATTCATAAATATTTGCATGATTACTGGCAAAAGTTACTATAGGAGCATTAGAAACTTCCAAACCCATAATTTCTAGTAAATTTGTGTCATTTCCCAGCAGTTTTTGAAGAGCATTTATTTCTCAATTGTAATTCAAGTTCATAAAAGATTTCTGTAAACACTTATCTGTTCTCAAAATAGATTATTTGAGCCTATATTTTAATTTCCTCAACATCCAGTGGTAGAAGTTATGCTGGGGATGGGAGATGGAGTCTTAATTTGTTTATGATTTAGTATTCCAGGTATCTGACCTCCTAAGGCAATACCAAGCAAATCTTACTCGCCAGGAACATTCTCTGGAGGGACAGATCTTAGCCCAACAGCAGGCAGAACATGCTTCTCAGAAGTCACAGAGGGAACTGAAGGAGATGATAGAAACCCTCACCCGGAAGCTGGAGGAGAAATCCAAAAGGGAAGAGGAACTTCGCCAGCAGAACCTGGACCTCCAAGATGCCCTGCAGTCAGCCGTCAACTCTTCAGGTACAGGGGAAGGGCGTGGGAGAAGCAGCAGGCCTTCCGCTCAATCTTAATTATGTTTTACAAACATCTGTAGATACAAAAATCAACATATTGACAGATACATCATTCACTCATGAGGCTCTATACAGGAAGTTCTCTGTTAACGCCTTTTGTACCCCATCCTATGTCAAGCTTTGGAAGACTTTGATCTATTGGAGCACAGCTTTTCATGAACTTAAGTTCTGTTTCTTAAAACAAGAGCCTCTTTTCTTTTCTTATAAAATTCTACCTTTGAGATCTATGTGGACGAATCACCCCACTCTCAGATCTTACCATAGATACTTTCCTGTTTCCATCTCAACGAATCTTAATCACTGATTTTCCTTTCCAGTTGGGTCTTCTTTTGCCCAGTTTCTGTGCTAACTTCATGCTGTGACACTGTTTCTTATACAGGCACTATATTTACCTAAGTAGAATCAGTGGAGGTTGGCTTGGAAATGTTAGGTAGATACCTCAGGTTGAACAAAGCTTGGAAAGTGAGTTTTATAGGAATTGAAATGATCTCAGACATCTTAAAGGGTCTCAGAGTCTAGGAGGCAGATGGTAATAGACTATGCTGAGAACTCTGATACCGTTACAGAAGTTATCTGCATTATAAAGTCTTGCTTCCATGTGTAAATCAAGCCAGATCTGTGCTTCTAGCCTCAGAGCTAGATGTGACATGGAGTCCCTTTCAATGACGTATCCTTTCGTAGAATGTACATGAATGAGGGTTTTATTCTCAAGATTAGAAACTAAGAGCCACTAAAAACCAAATTTCTCCACCTTCTTTCTTGAGTGACTCACAATTTCAAATATGCAGTTTCTCTGAATAAAGATTATATAATAATGATATAATAACCACCTTTTTATTTTATAGACAAAACTGGGATACAATTTAATAATAATAGTGTTGAAGAGTTTGATGTAAAGTTATGAAGTTTATAAATCCTTCAACTAAGTACAAAGTAATTTGACTTGGCAAAATAAGCAGAAATTTTTAGACAAACTGACCTTTGACAAGGTTGAACATATATTTAATCTTTTTGGAGAGGGAGCTTTCAAGGTAATAAATGAATAGGACCAATTTAAACAAAGCATAAGGGAAGGAGGCTTATGTGTCAAGAATAGAAGTGTTTATACAGCAGACAAACCACCCTATTCAATGGTTTGTTTCACAGATGTGGTTGTAAAACAGTTGTGTGTCAGCTGTGTATTGCGCGGGGTGAATCTAAGTCAGGACCGTAGAAGCCTCTCGCAAAGATGTCAGGCATGGATGAAACACAAACACCTAAGTGAGATGTCCCTGGGTGGCAGATACAGTAGGTAAAACATTCCATTCCTTGACAGTGTCTGATAACTGCCAGTTAGTAAAGACACCAAATGAATTTTCGCCTTGATCACGTAGCTACTAGGAGATCCTTATATATAATATTGAGATATCATGTGGAAAACCATGCTAGTTCTCTTAAATTTAAGGCAAGTTTTACATCTTACTAACAGATCTGCGGTCCTCAACCACGTGAATGAGGATGAAAAGACTGATGACTTACTTGAGTCACAGGACAAGGAGATGCAGATCCTCACAGCCATAGGTTTTACATTTAGCACTAGAATTGGTAGTGGGTTTTAGCCTTGAGTTATGTACATCAAGGGCTCCACGCAGGACCCGAGATTCTGAACCAGCATGTCTGGAGAAACAGGGATTCTCCCTCAAATTGTTCATTCTGAGAAGTTTGAGAGAAGTATGCTACAGAGGCTGTATTAGGGGAGCATAACCGATAGAGTGAATTTTTAGTAAAATGGGATTCATTAGGGTTGCCTTACAGCATACAGGTCTGGGTAGTCCAGCTGTGACTACAGCACATGAGAGAGGCTGAGTACCCGGCAGCCACTCAGTCCATGAGGCTGGGTGTTCCGCAGTCTCAGTCTGGTGCTGAAGACCTGGAAGTTTCCTGGAGAACTGCTGATCTTCAGTGTGCATTGGAAGCCCAGAAGAAACTGGTTCTAATATCAGGGAAGGGATACAGCAGAAGCAGCAGATGCTGAACTTACCAGCAAGAGTGAAGAGAAGCAGTCAAGGAGCAAGGCTTTTCTTCCATGGCCTTTTTCTGGGCTACACTGGAAGGTGATGCCCACATTTAGTATGGCTCTTCACACCAAACAATCTGGTCAAGGAAATCCCTCACAGAAATTCCCAGTGGTTTGCCTTTTAGTTGACTCCAGATTTCAGTCAAGTTGGCAACCAAGGTAACCATCACAGTGGTTAAACGCACTCAACAGACTGACTCGATTGAAATTCCTTTTTTCTTGATCTGTAAACTGAAGCTTATTAATAGAATATATCTCACTGAGTTGTATGAGAATTGAATGCATCCATGTATGTAAAGTATTTCCAACAGTTTCAGGCACATGGTAAATAATTTTTGTGTTTGTTACATTTTGCAAGTAATAGTAGATATGATACGTTATATGGTAGTATACAGTTGATTTTAGTACCACATTTTTAGATGTGCCTTTCTTTGCACAGCATAGACAAGTTTTCTGCACTATTTCTTTAGTCTACAAAAATCTATTTGTTTACATTTGCATAATAAGATGGAACTAGGCGAATGATGAAGAAATTTGCTTGTGGAACTTTCCAATCTCGCACACCCTTTCTACTTCACCGTCTTCTTTCATTTTGCAGAATCTTCTTACTTTCTCCTTTATATACATCGTTTCATTTTTTGTGTTATGTAAGTTAATTTTAGATAGAGTGAGACTCACTGTGTAGACCAGGCTGGCTTTGAACACATGGAAGTCCTCCTACCTTAGCCTCCTGAGTGCTGGGATTATATGCATAAACCACAACACCTGGCCTAACTTTTCCTTTTTGGTAAAACATATGTGCTGGATAGCTTTAGTGTCAACTTGACACACCTGGGTTGAGGGAGCCTCAATCGGGGAATTGCCTCTATTGGACTGGACTGTGACCTTGTCTGAGGGCCATCTTCTTGATGAGTGATGTGGGAGGGCCCAGCCCACTGTGGGTGGTGCCACCTCTGGGCAGGTGGGCCTGTGTTGCATAAGAAAGCAGGCTGAGCAGGAACCAGAGGAGCAAGCCAGTAAGCAGCGTTCCTCCATGGCCTGTGCTCCAGCTCCTGCCTCCAGGTTCCTGCCCTGAGTTCCTACCTTGGGCTTCCTGATGAACTGTGTGTGACCTGGGAGATGTAAGACAAATAAACCCTTCCCTCCCCAAGTTGGTACTGGTCAGAGTGTTTTGTCGCAGCAATGAAGAGCAAACTAAGACAACATACTTCTATAAAATCATCAAATGGCTTTGCACCACAATGAAAATTTAAATTTAAATTTAAATTTAACTCTTCTTGAGGATTCGTGTTTTTCCCCATTTTGGTCACAGTGTAGCGCAAAGGACAGTTTCTTGCCTATGATGGTGGGGATGATGGTGATTTGGGAGTTACTGAACACAGAGGTGTTGGCACCTCGGTTCATTACCTACTCTCAGGGCTCCATTTGTCAGACTCCCTGGCAAACTTACTGCTAAGAACTTCCTTATTTTCTGAAATCTTGACTGAAGTTTGAAATGATTGTTTCACATCAATATAATATTCTCCCTAGAACAAGTTCGTCCAAGAGAAATACAACATGAACCACTATGTAGCATTAAATTTTCTAGGAATCACATTTTTAAAGAAAGAAAAAGAAGCAGATGGAATTAATTTTAGTGACATATTTTAGCTAACCAAAATATCTGAAATATCAATTTAGCATGAGCCAGTATAAAGTTATCAATGTACTATTTTTGCATTTGTCCAACTAAAATTTTAAAGTCGGATGTGCATTTTTACTCACAGTGCACCATGACTGCAAACTAGCCTCATTTCATTATCACATATGACACCCATAGGTTAGCACATGCATAAAAGCAGCATACAAAGTGGTCATGTCTAATTCCATTATTCAAAGACATGAAGTTCTTAAAATGCAATGTCTAACTTTGTAAGAACAGAATGACTAGTAAATTTTTCCATCTCTCATTTTCGTTACTCTAAACATAACTTTAATGGCAAAATCAAATTCTGAATGTACATCCTACCTTAATGATAAATCAACTTAGTGTATTAAAATTAGAATGCCTTATTTCTTTTTCTTCAACTGAAAAATAGGAAACACAGACTCTGAAGCTATTCAGATATTTGCAGAGTCTGGACATAATTCTAACAAAGAGTGACAGAAATATTTTTGCTCAGAACTCACTCCTTGGATATCTAACCCTTCCCAGGCCCCTGTCCCCAAGACTGGATCTGGCATGGAGACAAGTGTTACCTGTTCTCCTCTGGACAATTTGGCTGGGAAAAGAGCCAAGAAAACTGCTTATCTCTGGATGGCCAGTTACTGGGAATTAACAGCACAGATGATCTGGTGAGTTGTTTTGGATTGTGGGGCTGGAGGATTGGTTGATAAGGAGATAAACTGAGTTTAAGAATTTGAGAGAGAAACATTTGTTTGAGGGAGAAATAGCTGTTTTTCAACCCAGGCTAGGTACTGATTATGTACTTGACCTTGAATTGACAAGCTGTGTACTCTCTGTAGGCTTCTGTGAACATTTCCATTAAACTATCAAGGGAGACTAAAGGTTTTTTTATATATTTTAATTTGATGAATTAAATGCTGCCTGACCTTCAGATTTTTTAAAAAATATTTTATTTATTATTTTTATTTTATGTGTATGAGTGTATTGCTTGCATGTATGTGAGTGCATCCGTATTGTGCAATACCACGGAGGTCAGACAAGGGCTTTGGATTCCCCTGGAACTGGAGTTAAAGACGGTTAATAGCCCTCATGTGGGTGCTGGGAATTGAACCTGGGTCCTTGGGTCCTCTGCAAGAGTACTCAGTGCTCTTAACTTCTGAGCCATCTCTCCAGCCCCAGCCTTCAGATTTTAAAGTGAGGAATTGTGACTTTCAACAGGACTTCATCCGGCGAGCGACTTCCCATTCCAGCTCTCCATTCTGGATGGGATTGTCTCGGAAGAAACCCAGCCACCCATGGCTCTGGGAGGATGGTTCTCACCTGAAGCCCTACCTGTAAGTCTGTTACTGTTTTTGGTACCCATTGTAAATATCTATTTCTAGCTGAGTCCACATTGAAGTCAACACCACATTAGACAGGCCTATGACCCCCTCTTGTCAGAATGAAGAGTGGAGAAGCTTTCAAAGTTCCCTTCCTTCTTTCTCTCACAGGATTCGTCCATTTACTCCTTCAGACCTTCTCTTGAGTTTCCTTCCGCATTACTATTTAAGGCAGGCCAAGTTCCCCATACAAGGAGCCAGTACATCTTTATTTTTTTTTTCTGTTCTCTCCACCTGCAGATTTAGGTTCCAGGGTGCTGTTTCTCAGACATACCCTTCAGGCACCTGTGCTTACATCCAACGGGGATCTATCTTCGCTGAAAACTGTGTTTTAGCTGCATTCAGCATATGCCAGAAGAAGGCAAATCTGTGGAGAACACAGGGAATTTGAAGGATCTGGAAAAACAGAAGGCCTTTGACTTTTATTCTGAAATTTAAGTCATTCTTAATAGTAAGGTGCTTGGATACAAACCATGACAGCCCTGACAGTTGCCAGTTCTCAGCTGGCTGCAGACCATCTTGACAGATACCAGAACCAACTGATCAGAGGCAGGGTCAGAGGTGGGAGATCCAGCTGTCTGACACTTGTATCAAAAGGTGTGATTCCAGCTATCTATCCATGCCTCGCCCACCCCAAGCCTCCTGAACAACCTGAAATCTCTCTCTTTTCTTTAAACTCTGACTCCTGCCTGACCTTGGGAGTCCACTCAGCACACTCTTCTCTACCTCAGTGCTGACTTCTAGAGATGCAATGGAGACAGAATATGGAGATCTTGCTCAAATGCAAGCAGAGGTCACAAAGGGGAAGTATGCCCAGGAAGCAGTGCACATGAAGAAACAGAACAGAGAAAAGGCCTGCCACACTGTAAGCAAGAACTCACATCTTCCAAAAGCCACTGCTTGTTGGTCTTTATGATTGTGGTACATCTTCAGACTTTGAAATTATACACATATGCAACCACATGTGAACACACACACACACACACACACACACACACATACACACAAACTGTGGTATATCAGAAAGTAGTTAATAATTGCATATTGCATTTTTTATGTACAAATCCACTGTGGTACATCAGAAAGTAGTTAATAATTGCATATTGCATTTTTTATGTACAAATCCACAACTCATTATCAGTTGATGAATTGGTTATTATTTCTTTGTCTTTTCTCTTACAAAGAACAATGTAATAACTTTAACCCTTCAAAACAATATTTCATAGGATGGGTGGCACAAAGGCAAAGCCAGATTTGTTCCCCTAAAGTGCACACCCATTTGTAGATAACCTCTCCTTGATTCTGTCATGCTGTGTTATAATTCAGAAACATACAAGACCAAGAATGAAAGACATTCAGGTCTATAATTTTTTAAAAATGTTGAGCATTCCCTTGTGTGGATATAATGAAGATTGCTTGTTATGTGTTTGCCTGTTGGTGTCATTTGGATTGTTTCAGTTCTTAGTTAATTATAAACAAAGCTGCTATGAATGTTCATGTAAAGTCTTTGTGTAGACATGGGATCTACTTCGTCAGGTAAATACATAGAATGTGATGTCTGGACCACACAATATGAATATTTAGCTATTTAAGAAACTGCTGAATTTTCATAAAGCTCTACCATTTTGTATCCCACTAGCAGTGTACAAGTGACCCATTTTCTCATTTGTGCCAGAAATCGATATCTCTGATCTTGTCTATTTAGACATTATTATAGATGTGTAGCTATATGTAATTGCTCTTTTAGCAATTCCTAAATGGCCAATGATCTTGAATATATTTTCATGTTCTTATTAACTGCCTATATGTTTTCTATGATGAAGTAATTGGGTAAAACTTTTAATAATTTTTAAATGGTTGTTTCCTTAATTTTTAAACTTGAGAACTCTATATATCTGAAATTAAAAGCTACCTGATATGTGACAGGACTTTTTTCACTGAACAGCTTCTTTTTGTTCTTTGAACAGTATGTTCACAAAAGCAGAAGTTTTTAATTTTGGTGGTCTATTTTATATTTTCACTGCTGTTTCTAAGAACTCGTTGCCTAATTCAACATTACAAAACTTTTATGCCTTTTTTCCCCCAGAAATTTTATAGCTTCAAGTTTGACATTGAGGTCTCTGACTTATTTTGGATTTTTTTTTTTTTTGTGGGTTAGGCACTGAAGTTTGTTTCAGTTTCTTTTTGCATATGGACATCTAATTGTTTCAGCGATGTTTGTTGGGGGACTCCTTCCTTGCTGATTTGATTTTGCCCCTTATCAGCACTTAACTGATGCTGACTGCTTGAACTGTTGCTTTGCACGTTGTCGTTCCCATTCGCTCTTCTGCGTAATTTTCTACCATGACCACTACACTACTTTAATTCTGTAGTTTGCAAGAAATTTTGAAATCATGTACTGATAGTCTTCCACCTTTATTCTTCTTATTCAAAGCTATTTTAGCCTATTTAGATCATTATATGTCCATGTTAATTTTTAATTGGCTCATCAACTCTACAAAAACCCTTTTGAAATTATGATTTTTGTTCATTTGGGGTTGGCTGGTTCTTCATTTCTTACTTTGAGATGGGGTCTTACTATGTAGCCCCAACTTACCTGGAACTCAAGATGTAGACCAGGCTAGCCTCGAACTCACAGAGATCTGCCTGCCTGTGCCTCCTGAATGCTGTGATTAAAGGCGTGTGCCACCATGCCTGGCAGAATTATGATTTTTGACTGCAGTGACTCATAGATAAATTTCAAGAGAGCTAAACATTTAAAAATACCAGTTCCAAGCCACTGCCTCCCAAGACCCAGGAATCACTGAGGAAGAGGAGGTGGAAAGATTGTAAGAGCCAGAGGGGATGGATGATCACAAGGAAACAGAATATTCCAGACAGCTGGTCATTTACTCATATGAACTCACAGCAATGGTGACAGCATGCACAAGTCAGCTCAAACCAGACAAAATCCCAGCACAGAGATGGGGAAGTGGGTAAGAAATCCCAATCCAACCTAAGGAACTTTTGGCAATTGATGACTGCTGGGAGGGGGCGAGAGAGTGTCTTACAGGGATGGGACTCTTGGTGGGCCCAGGGGATGGACTCATACTGAAAGACATCTGTGGATACAAATCAGACTCTATATGCCCTAAAATTATATATATATTTTTTAAATTGCATTGGGGGCAGGGTGGGAGGTGTGGATAGGGGAGGGATCTAAATGTCACCAAACTATATTGTATGGAAATCTCAGGAATTAAATAAAAAAATTTTAAAAATGTTAATTCCTAAGCAAAGCACATTTATTCAGGCATTCTTTAAGTTCTCTGGACAATGTTTTATTGTCTCTGCATAGATATTTTATACATTTTGTTAGACTATCATATATTTCATTTTTCTGAAGTTGCTTATAACGGATGGGATTATTACTTATAATTTTGATTTATAAATATTTGGGTTTTTTTGCTTTTTTAAAATATTTATTATTTTTATTTTATGTGTATGCATGTATTGCCTGCTTGTAGGTAAGTGCACCATGTCATGCAATGCCCACGAAGGACAGAAGAGGCTGTGAGATCCCCTGGAACTGGAGTTATGGACAGTTGTTAGCTGCCATGTGGGTGCTGGGATTCAAAGTCAGGTCTTCTGCAAGAACAAACAGTGTTCTTAACACTGAGAAATCTCTACAGCCCAATTTATACATATTTGTTTATAGTATACAGAAATGCAACAGATTTTTTTTATTAGCCTTACATTGCGACACCTTCATAAACTCATTTCGTTCTTCTAATAACTTAACTTGTGTATTCTACTGGTTTTCTATATAAGTGATTTAGCAGTGTTCAGATAAAAATATTTCATACTTTACCACCCAGTCTCAACACTTCCGATTTGCTAGACTAGAACTTCCAACCCAATGCAACATAAAAGCAAGAAGAAAATGAACAACCTCATTTTGACCTTGATCTTGGGTTGAAACTTCAGTGTCAAACTCTAAGTATGGTGTAATCTGATTTTTTTTTTATTTTATTTATTTATTTTCATTTTATGTGTATGAGTGTTTTGTCTGCATGTATGTAAGTGTACTACATGCATGCAATGTCCATGGAGGCCAGAAGAAGGTGTCAATCCCTTGGAGTTATGGATGGCTGCTAGCTTCCATGTAGGTGCTGGGATGTGAACCTGGGTTGTCTGTAAAAGCAGCTAGTGCTCTTAACCATTGAGCCATCTCTCCAACTCCAACACTGCATATTTTTTGTAGATGGTCTTTGTCAATTTAAGAATTAAACCATGTCTTAAACACTTTTACTTTAGTGTGTGTTATACATTTATACAGGTATACACATGTGCAGGTGTGCTGACCCATTCAGGTGTGTGTGTGGAGGCCACAGGCCAATGTTCCTTGTCTTCCTCTATCACTTCCCACATTATTTTGATGAGACAGAGTTCATCACTGAACATATATATATAATTAGCCTTACGTTGCTATTGTTTTCTTGACAAATATTTTCTGTTCTTACCTTTGTCTCACTTCACATAATTATCTCTTTCAGGTGACTTTATTATTTGCTTTTCTTATAGGTTTTATACATTTATTATTAAGATATGCCTTGGTGAAGATATTTTCATGTTTCTCATATTTAAGGATTATTAAGCTTTTGGACCTACTGGTTTATAATTTTTATTGTATTCCAGAAATGTTTCAATTATTTATTTAATAACCACATGATTAGAAGAAGCATTTCATTACCACATTAACATAGTCAATAACTGTTTCCAGAGCAAAGATAAATCTCTTTCAAAATCGGCTGTAAATTTTTAGGTTCACAGTTGAATTAATACAGTTACACAATATTGAATTCAGTTTAAACCCTGTAAGACATAAAATTGAATGAGGTTTTAACCTTTAAAAAAGGTATCCATTTCATTTTAAAATATACTGTTTCATATAGAAAAACTCATTTTTAATGTTCCTAATACTTAGATGTTTGAACATGCATCTCTAATCTCTATGTATCTGATTATTAATAGTCACAATCGGTTACTTTCTGACATCTTGGTACCTGAGCATGGATATAAAATCATCAGGTAGATTTCAATGGTAATGTTTTTCACCTCTTTTAATTAACGTGAAGCAAATTTTTATGCTTCTTCCTCAAATATAATTCATTTTTTGTTGATTTTTTTGTGTATATTTCACACAGAACATCCAAAACAATCTTATTCATCTATACACATCCCAAATGGCACCCTCCCATAGCTCCCCACCCCACTGGAGCCCATATACTCTGTAATCCCTGTTATTGTTCACTGTGTTGTCGGCACCCCCAGCCATTCCCCAGTGCTTGTCC